AAGAGCCGCCTTTACAGCTGAGAGGCGGCTCGAAAAACTCGGTTTCCTTAAGGAAATGTGAGGAGAGCCGGTGAGAGTAGGTAGAGCCCTCTGCGAAGTCCCCAGAGTTTTTTTTTTTACTCTTGGGGAGGAAGCAGGATGAGGCTCCCTATCCAGCTCGCCGCTGCTCCGGGCTTCGGGAGAACTCTGCGCTTTGCAGAGCTAGACAATGTGACCAACCTAATTAGCAAAAACTAACAGATCGCTTGAATAAGCAGGATGAAATCCGGATTTGGGACTCTAAATCGCAAGTATTTGTAACAACCCTATGATTGATTTTAAGAATGAAGAAAGAGTGAAAAGGGGAAAAAAAAGTTTAAAATGGCGGCTGGCTGAGGCTTGAGAAGAAAGCTGAAAGCGAAAGTCTTTCCATTTGAATGGTTTAATATGTTACAAAGTATCTGAAGCAATAGCGCTGGCTACAAGAGAAGAGAAAAATTTCTGTTTCATGCTTCTTCCTTTCTTAGAGACTTGATATTGATATTGTGTGGAGAGAAGACTTTTTCTTTAAAAAGAGTCTGTTTGTGTGGCAGGATGGCGTTAAAACTGACAAAGCCAGACAACCAAGCTGTGGGGGGGGGGCGCTCCCCCATTTATAAATCACAAGAGCAATTTTTGAGCTTGCAGATGCAGAAGAATGGTTTTAAAGATTTAAAGGAATTTGTTGTGGAGAAGTTGGCAAGACATGATGAGATTATGAACCAGAATCTTGAAAAATTTAGACAGGAAATTAAAGAGTTGGTTCAACAAAAGTATGATAACCTGAAGCGATATATTGTAACAGCTTTGAAAAGCTTCTCAGAAGTAATTCTAAAGATGGATAAAGATATCACTCTAGAAATAGAGTCTAAAATGAAGGAAGCTGATTATAAGATTCATAATCTGGATAATAAAATACAAAGAATTGAAAATGATTTGACAATGATTCAAGAAAATAGCTCAGAAGTAGAGTCTAAAATGAAGGAAGCTGATCACAAGACTTACAATGTAGATAATATAAAGCAAAGGATTGAAAATGAAGTTACAATGATGCAATTTAGATCCATGGAATTTGCGATCAGAATGAGAGGAATACAGGAAAATAACAGAGAGGACTTGAGAAAGATGTCTGCTGAAGTTCTGGCTGTGATCTTAAAGGTCAGCTCTGAAGAAGTATTCTGTAAGATTGATAAGGCCTACAGAGTAAATTCTTGGGTGGCAAAGCAAAGACAATTGCCTAGAGATGTGGTGATTTATTTTACTGATAAAGGAATAAGAAATGATATTGTGCAAAAGTCTTTTAACTCCACTCTAGAAATGAATGGAATGAAGATCTGGATATATAAAGAGCTGCCGTCCAAGATGTTAAAAGATAGAAAGGACTTTGGATTTTTGGTGACTGAGCTAAAGAAACAAAACATCCCATTTAGGTGGGATGCTCCAGTTGGTATAATATTGAGATATCAAGGAGAAAGATATCAATTAAACACTGTTGAAAAAGCGGAAGAATTTTACTACAAGGTTTTTAAAATGGGCCCAACATCTCCACGTATGTCATCAGTGTCAGGAATACAGGAGGGGGATAAAGAAAAGCAAAATGAACAAGAGATTGAAACTCAGGCTAAGCAGATGGAGATGGAGGTAATGGAAAAATGACAAGTTATAGAGGGCTTTTTGGATGAGCCGCTTTTGGATTCTCCTTCAGAGGCTATAGCTGGATCACCTATAAATATAAGAGAGGCGGCTTTGGATCTTGATTTGATGTCTTATCAAGTTAAAGACCAGTATGTAATTCAATCAGCTGATATACAAGTCCTAGAAAGGCAACCAGGGTGGAGATCTAAACCACAACAAGTTAAGAAAAGAAGAAGCAGGTTCTACAAAACTAAAAAATTTTAAACTACAATTCTTTTTTAGCCAACAGATTAATGCCAGTTATTTAAGAGACGATTAAATATAATAAGCGGGATTTATAGAAGGCTGATACATGAAAATATAGCTGAGGCAAATTATAGACTTATACTATTTTGAGAAGAATAACAGATCTCTGCAGTGCTGGTGTTTTTGGGATGTGGAAGATGGCCTGTGATTGAGCGGATTGGAACTTTCTATTTTGGACTCTCTGAAAAATGGATTACGTATATGTTGAGCTTTAAGGCAAGAGAACTATGGAATTGGGGCATGCAGATGATCTGGCTGTTACCCTAACGTGGTTGTCGGAATTAATAATCTAGATAAAAGACATTACAGAAGATACCATATGGAATATAAATATAAAGTCATTTGAGGGTATTATTTATATATGGAAATATCTTTTAGTGATATGGGCAGAAGAATAAAGATATTAAATATATTATGTATTGTAGACCTGTAGGAAAGTGGGTGAAATAAAATTGATATGGTACAAGGTGATAGGTAACGTTACTGATTGCTTAGTTTAGGAAAAGGGATGTTATATTTAGATATTAATATACTTAAAAGATTTGAATTAAGAGATATACGTATGGGGGTGGAGGAAATGGGTAGATTATGAGTAGAATAAATGCCAAATTAGGATTTATTATATAGTCTCATAGCCGAATGTTGTTTTGAAACGTATAGTATACGGGGGACATAATAATAATGTTAGAAAGAAATGTTTAGCACATAGGGGGTGGTGTAAAAGGGTGGTAAAGTATTATATAATGTGATATTAATTTGGATTTCATCTTGTCGAAGCCATGGGGGGAGGGGAGGGGGAGGGGGGCTAGGGAGCGGGGGGGAAAGGAAAAATTTGTATTTGAAAAACTTTTTCAATAAAAAAAATAAAAAAAATAAAACTGTATATTTATTTTGACTTAGGGATATTTCCTAAAGAGGTAAAATATTGAACACTTTATGTATGGATACATAATTTTAATTTGAATACAGTCCCTAAAGATTTTTGGGGATTTCATGTGTCCATTCAGAATAAAGCCGCACATTATAAATGGACATTTGGTGTTCTTTTTTTAAAAACATTAATATGTTTCATTTGTTGTACAGATAACTCCTCCAAAACAAAGTGATTTCATCATGTGAACTGAAGTTGATTGTTTAAGTATGAAGGAAAAGGCTAAGAGGTCAAGATGTATGGCATCACAAGTTATATGAAAGTAGGAAGTCATAAATTGCAGGATCCAATCTGGGTCAGTCACAGGGACCAGGAGTCTTCTGAGCTTTTGGATTCATGCTGGAGCCCATCCTCAGGGAATTTCTCTCTAGCAGAATGTGTCATAGTTGGTTATAGCTGCATATTATTATTCAGCTGAAAATGGAGAATCAAGATGGGTTTTGGGAAAAACTGTACAGTATTCTGCATGAAAGCAATTCAAGAGAATCATCTAATTTTGTCAAAAGATCTGAATGAATGGGTGGGAATAAGGCAAGAAAGTAAAGAAAGTGTGACTGTATCACTTAGAGACTCTAAATGAATAAAAATGGCAAGCTGGTGAATATGTGTTTAGAAAAAAAATAAATGTAACGGGTGGGTTCTAAATTTTTTTACTACCAGTTCTGTGGGCGTGGCTTATTTTGTGGGCGTGGCTTGATGGTTATGTGACAATTCTTTAGGATTTAGCAGAGGTACTGGTCTACCAGGCTTTTAACTGCTTGCAGAGCTGTACCGGTCTACCCATTTATTTTTGCAGGCACTGGTCTACCCATTTATTTTTGCAGGCATTGGTCTACCCATTTATTTTTGCAGGCACCGGTCTACTCATTTGTTTTTGGAGGCACTGGTCTACCACCAAACTGACTTTTACCACTGATCAGCTGTAGGGCGGCCCTTTGAAGCCCCCCGGCAAGAGTTTAAACAGTTTTTCTTTATAGCCCATCAGCTGGGACTCAGGAGGCAGCAATAGATTGGGGGTGGGGCCAAATAAAAGGTAAGAATAACGCGGGGTGGGGTGGGGGTGGGCAGAACCAGTTCGGTGACATCATATCGTCACCGCTACTGGCTTGGTGGAACCGGGAGGAACCCATCACTGAAATGTAAGTATATGTATACTATGTATGGAAAAAGAATAAAATGAAAAGCATGACTGACTATATTTAAAGACTGAGAGAATCAGTGACGGCTATAAGGGTAATGAGAAATTGTGAACGTGGGGAAGATTACATTAGCTAGCATCAAGAATAGATCCTGGGAAACAATGGGCATGGAACAAAAAGAAGTAAAAGTTGAAGGAAGGAAAAGTACATATCCAACAGGGAAAAGAATTAACAAAAACATTAATCTCCCAACATGAATAGAGAATGGTAAAATAAAAAAATTCTAGGAAGTGCAGTATAGCTTTATATAAGTATACCGGTAGTACGGTATAGCTTATGTCCAGCAAGAATATGCATAGAAGATTCCCTTCTCTTTAGCAGGTCATTGAGAAATGTATGAATGTGAAAAACATTTACTATAGATTTGACTATTTAGCGGACACATGCAATAAAATCAGTGGTGGGTTGCTACCAGTTAGCACTGGATCGGGCAAACTGGTAGCGGTGGCGGGAGGCTCCGCCCACCCACCAGCTTCTGCGCATGCGCAGAAGTGCACATGCGTGCATGAGCGAACCGGTAGCAACGGGATTTGGAACCCGCTCCTGAATAAAATAAATAGGTTTGAATTATAGAATACTTTACACAAATATGGAGTGACAGCTGGTTGTTGAACATAGTAGAGCATTCTATAATGATATGCTATATACTATTATTATAATACAGTATATAATAAAGTATGCATGAGAAAAATAAAGTGCTTAAAAGTGTTTTGGTGTTAAACCGGAAATAAAACAGGTTGAGATTCTAAAAGAAAACTGGGACATTTAAAAAACAAATACAATGTATGATGGTGAGGTAGAAGAAAAAAAGAATGCAAAGTTGACCTGATGGTTATGTGTGTATATAAAACTATCCACATGAAACATGAGAACCACTTCTCTTCCCAAATAAAGTTTGTAACTCAGAAGCATACCAGCAAATACTCTTTTATTACATTTGTTCAATTTGCCATACTATAATTTTAAGACTGTTTCATGAACATAAAGATCAGTATGAAAGTAATGGTTTGAGAGTAAGTCAACTTCAATTTTGAAAACAAAAGTAGCATTTTTCACATACTTCAGTTTTTACACAATTACTTCCTCAACAAAAAACAAAACAAAATTATTTTCAAGTTTTTCCCCATTGCACTTGTTACCACCAGAATTACATGAAAGACTTTACAATACAAAATTACAAAGAGGGGCAGAATCTACTAGTACAAAACAGATAAAGGCTATGTAACTCTTAAATTGAAATGTACTAGGTACTCAATGAAGAATTTCAACCTGTGGCTTCTGGTGAACCTTTCAACATTCATTTATATGGATTTTTTTTCTTTTCCTGAAAGCGTCCTTTGTTTAAGAGGAGAATATTAGTGGTATCCTGGAAACAAGGCAAGAACAGACTTATTTTGCAGTTCAAGTATTATCATAAAAGGGAGCCAAGATCTATGCAATGTGTTTTAAGTAGCGACACTTTGAGATCGTACAGGGAGAAGAGGCAAGTAAGCATTTTAGCTTATATGCATGTCCAAAGAATAAAACATTTCAAAATAAATTCCCCCTAGTCTAATTATTTGAGATCCAATTATAGTGTTAAGATAAAAATGAGTGTTACCTGTAAGTTAAATTGACCTAGCTGTTTTAAAAATATGAAAACAATTCAAGATATTCATAAAACAAATGTTATTTTGAGAGAATATGACAAGCAAGACAGCTGCTGCTCTTGGTCTAGAGGCTTGAGAGATGATAATATACTTCTATCAGCATTTAGTGGCTGGTTATGCTCATACCACTTGCCCATAATCTTCCTGCCTTAATTTCTACAACAGATGGGCAACTCCCATCATCCAGCACAGGTAGCCATGCTAGCTGGACTGATGAGAACTGTTTGATAATATCTGAAAGGACACTTGGGCCCATCCCTATTCTAGAAGTTTAAAAAAATGATTCTGAACATCCATGTCATATATTTTGGTTTATTCAACAGAGGAGCAACCAAACACAGTCCTGGCAAGAACAATAAGTATCTCATTTGCAGAAGAATAAAACTAAGGTTCACTTTGATTCATATGACTAAGACTAGGACACATTTCTACCTGCTTTTGCCTTCATTTTCACTATTTGGCTAATCAGCATCCTTTCTAAAGAGATGCCTTTCCTAAAGAGACAGTTGACAAAGAGGTATTTGAGACTGTAATATACTAGCCAGTTGTTCAAAGTAAAGCACCTTTGCTTTGAGATCCAGGCAGCTAAATTCAGGACTTTCAAAGGCTGGCTGCAGTAGCGTACTGTGCAAATTTTGCAGTTTGTTCTCATACTTCAGTTGCATCCCTCTTTTTTGTATTGTTAAATGAATCATAAGAACATGAACATTATCACTATAGCTTAAACTAGTTTCAGCAGAAAACATCAAACTGCTTTTCACAGTGCACCAATTTATTTCATAAAACATGTTCATGATGACCCAAATGGTAACAGTTTTCCAGGATGGGGAGGCTGCCTTTATCGGTTAAAGCCTCCCCAATCCTTCTCTTTGTGAGGTGGCACCCACATTTACCACGCTTGGTTTGAGGTTCTCCTGTGGAAGGAGCACTACTTCTACAGTTAGTTGTAAACACTTTCCTCAAAAGAGATTAAGTGGCATCTTTTCCAAAAGGATTCTCACACATGAGAAAACATTGAAAATTACAAAACGAGGGAGGGTTAAACTTGCAAATCAAGAAAATCAACCCTCTTAGCCCTTCACCAATTACTCAGGATCAAAGTTTTTTCTCTCTTAGTTTATTCTTCAGGTACTCATTTACCAGTACAGATTGTCCATCACCATTGCTTAAATACTTATCCTTTCCAAATTTATGTTCTTGCTTTTGCCTTCTTATCTCTTTATACCGTAAGGTGATGTCACTGAAACGAACAAAAAACAAGAATTGTTTCTTTCACTTAAAAAAAAGAAGAAGCAATAAACCTCTGTAGTTCCTTTCATTTCTCTAAAACAATTGTAAACTAGATTTTGCATCTCGTAATTCTGTTTAAAAAGTGCTATACATTTTAATCAGCCTTCCAAATAAACAAACTGAGATGATCCACTCTCAATCCCCCCCCCTCAACTCTTTGGAGATTTAATGCAAAGCAGAAATGTCTGGGCAGCACTTCAGATCTGATCTCCAAAAAGTATTTCAGGGCATGCGGGAGAATGAACGTAGCATCCCTCTGCAATACCTTTAAGCAATTATATCTTTTCCTGGAATCCAGTGCTGCTACATGATCCCAATGAAAGGGTTATGATCCCAAAAATATGTTTATGTGGCACCTTGAAACTGAATCCAAAGCAAGAGCCTTGATAGTACAGTGGTCTACGCACCCTGTCATTAACACAGCTGCCTGCAATTTACTGCTGGTTCGAATCTCTCCAAGGCTCAAGGTTGACTCAGCCTTCCATCCTTTCTAAGGTAGGTGAAATGAGGACCCAGTTTGTGGGGGCAATAAGATGACTTTGTATAAATATACAAAAGTATGAAGGCTATTGCTTAACGCATTGTAAGCCGCCCTGAATCTCCGGAGAAGGGCAGCATATAAATCAAATTTAAAAAAAAAAAAGTTATCCTGCAGCCCTCCTTTCTGAGATGGGGAGCATAAGTTGGCCTAGCCAGAGGGAATACATTCTGCCAAACAGAACCTCATAACCTAGGGTATGCTATCCGATATCTTTCTGTCCCATTTCTCTATTTCGATAAGAAAGAGCAAGAAATCTTTTAGATAAGAAATTTAATTTGGGGGATTAGTTCAGTATACAAACTCTCTCCTCTTCCTTGGATCTAGAGTTGCCCTATTGATGAGATGGGCAGCATATACATTCATTCATTCATTCATTCATTCATTCATTCATTCATTCATTCATTCAATAAACAACAAACAAACAATCTCATGGGAACAGACAGCGTGCTTCTTTCAGAATTATAGGGCAACTAAGTGTTATAATTAAGGCTTTATTAAAGATCTTTAATCAAAGGGTTACCTGAAAATCAACAAGAAAGTTAATTTCTATTAGTGAGTCTCCCAACTTTGGCGTCTTGAAAAAATGGATGTTTGTTCATGTGTTTAATAACTTTTATCAGACCATAGTATTTTAAAATTCCCATACAAACAACCTAAAGATTACAAGCCTAGCTAGACAGTCAAGAATCAAATTTTGCTTACTGAATGAAAAAGCGCCAAACTGTCCACGCAAGCACAAGCATGATTCCAAGGATCCAACATTGAGTAATGTAGAAAGGGAGTGACAGTGTTAAAGTGTATGGATCATATTTTACCACTATAAGGAACTCTGTAGCTGTGATAGCAGCAACCAGCCAAGCTTGCTGACCCAACTTCTTATGGAATTTCCTGCAATAAAACAAAAGTAGTAGCATATAGGTACAAGACATATCTGTACTCAAAATATTATTCACAAGGCAAATCCAAAAAAATGCATTATCTTAAAAATTTGCTGATTAAATTGAATTACTCCAGTTAATATCAATTTCATTCAGTAATATTATAAAAATGTTATCTTGAAATGCTTCTCTATACCATACCCAGGAAGCATAACTTCAGAAGCAACTGCTTTTCAGACAGACTCTCATGTGCCCCAAAATCAGAGGCTGAAATAGGTGATATTTGAGAAGAGTCTATATTCTAGTAAAAGATTTGATAGAGTGGATTACAGTCTGCAAAACATTACCCCATAAATAACAGTAAATGTCTATCATGCAAATATTGATCACCATGGTAACCCAAATTTCTATATTGATAAAACTACATTTCATATACATATGGTATATTCACCAACCTTGTTCTAGTGGTTTATTTACAATGGACATTTCATTCCCCAAAGCATTCCAAAACAACAAGCAAACAACAAGCTGATCTGTTACTTGGGCAAGATGTCTGGACAGGTGTTATGGCTTCCCCTACAACAACTGTCTCCAACCTTTCCAGCTTGGCGGCCTGGCAGGGTGAGGGAGAGGAGATGAGTCTCTGTGAGTGACAGGAGTGTGTGTGTGAGCACATGCAGCTCCAACTGCAGAAGCAGCAGGTGCGCACACTGCTCACACAAATGGAGCTTTTCACACAAGCGCAATCACCCGCTGCTTGTGCAAGTAGAGTTGCGTGACTCCTTGCCCAACAATTGTGCAGCCTGGTTCCGAAGAGGCCATGGCCTGGTAGTGGGCGTCCCCTGGGAGTTGGGGACCCCTGCCCTACAAAATCTGTATGCTTCTGTGTGGTTTCTTGGTTGAGTTCTGGGGCAAGAGGGACAATGCTAGGAAGATTGAGCAGGGTAAGTGCACACTTCATACTTGGGATGTTGGTGAAGGAAGAAAGCAGGGAGGGGAGACATTGCAAAGATCTGTCAAGCAGATGGACAGTGTGCTGGTGCAACAGCTTAAAGATTGGTAGCCTAAGAAGATGCTCAGAAGTTTGAATAGAAAGGCATGATTAATGGGGGGGGGGAGGGTGCTGAGCAGTTGGACTGGTATGCTGGCTGGTGTATTCTGGAATAACAGCATTGGGAATTTCTTTTCCCCAGCCTGGCTTCTGGCCCATTTTGTACTTTCTCGCTGACAACAGTTGAAAAAAAAGCAACAACTTCCCTAAAGTTAGAAGAGGGAGTGATGCTACATGGAGGGCTGTTTCTAAATGCCTGTGGCCAGTGTCTCAGAAAAGGAAGGAAGGAAGGAAGGAAAGAAGGAAGGAAGCAAAGATATAGAGGTGGGTGGGGATTTAACAACAGACAGATTCCACAGATGCTCTGTCTTGAACAATCTGTTAGACAATGGTACCTAAGTAGTAATCGTTAATTGGTTCCCGGAAGGGCAACGAGTACCAAACGATCCGTATGATAAAGAATAATGTAGTGTGTCACAAGGGAGCCGACACTGAGAAGTTCGAGATTGTGCATTGAATACCAAACAAACGATGGGTACTGGGACAAAATTTTTATGTCAAAATGCATTAAATACCAAATTTGATGAGTTCCAAAGCTGTTTAGTATAAAGGTACCACTGTATTCACTGTGCTGCAATATTATTACATTAATATTTTAGCTTTTTAATAAAGAAGAGAAAGTATAGCAATTTCACATAGTTAATTATAAATAAAGAATTTAGGCAGATCATTTTGCTATACCTACAAGGCAGACTTATTTGGGCGAATTCTGACATCTCTAACAAAATTCTTAAAATTTTCAGTGCCTGCTTTTAAATCTAGTACCTAGTAGTTTCCCCATACCGTATCTAGTTTCTGCTGTTTTAAACCAACACCCAGGAAAAATCTACACGAGGGAATGCTGGAAACAATAGCAACTGATACAGCAAGGAATGTCAATCCTATAGCTCTTTAATCTATTTCCTAGCGCAAAGAATCCTGCTGAACCGGATTGTTATATTTCTCAAATATGACCTTATATTCTGTATCACCAAACCAAATACAGTAAAACCTCCATGAGTTGATCTAATTTTCATAGACTATTATCACTCTTATTCCAGCAACTTTGTTCCACATAGAAAACAAGACACAGGCTGCAAAAAGGTATGATTTATTGGCATTCCTTTACAATCCTTCCTTTACAATCACCAGAGCACATCCAGAATAGGTAAAGCGAAGGCCTTGAGCCCCTTTCTTGTACATTTTGTACATTTAAAAAATGGTTTGAAGGAGAAAAAAAACCTAATATACATTTCCCCTTAAAAACATCTGTACCCCACTTCCAAAATGACCCATAGTCCTCAATATATCATACAAAATCTGCATAGTGGTGTATCTGAATATCTGAAAATTTGCAGAGCATTCAATGAGCATTTTAGCAACTGAAAGTAGTCTTTTATTTAAAAGAAGTTACATAAATCTTTAAGCTGCCTAACAGAATGGTGTGCTAGAATAGAAGGGGGAGAAAATCTTCATTAATCTTTGAAAATACTCAGAAACAGAAATATGCCCTTATGTATATTTTATAAAGGAACAATTCTGTAGACAGTTTGCTTTTAACTTCCTCCTACTAGGAAGTGTAGTACTGACGAGATTCTTATGTTTGTGCAGAAATTGAAATTTTAGTGGAACTGGAAAATACAGTAGTCACTTTCTCTGTAATAAAAGTTAAGAAAGGTAGGAAATTGTTACATATGGGATCATTTTTTGGGATCTTTTCCTTTGATCTCTGTATCTTCTATTGGCAAAGAATGGCAATACCTTGAATCGAAAATGAGGGGTTGGGGATAGATGAAGCTTCCCTTTTCCAACGTTATGCCATCTGGTTGAACAGAGGGCAAAAGAATAAAAGATTCTTTTTCAACTCAAACACAAGGACCGAAAAATGGACCAGAATTCCTCAGAATACTGAGGAGAGAAGTGAGACCTTTTCTTACTTTGAAGAAGGAAACAGTAGGTCCAAAACGAGGGGTCAGGGAACGGTCTGAATGTCACTGCTCAATATCGTGAAATCCAACTAAAGTAATCATTTTTAGCCATTCTTCCCTGCTCTGGGAATCAAAGACCAACAAGTGATCTCCATAAGGTATTGGAATCCTAGATACTAAACACAGACATTTCTCTGATAGTCAGAGATAAAACAGTATGCTGACAAGTTGTAGGGCCAACCAGTTTGCTTCATTATCACCAAACTTAAAACAAAATTACAACAGAACAAAAGATGGATCCAATTAGATGGATCTGTATTCTAGCATTTGATAAACAAAACAAACAGAAATAACAAATAATAAGCAAGCAGGTGTTTACTTCATGCATTGCTTTGTGAGGCCACACTGCTGCAAAATATGAATGCTGTAAAGTGCCTTTATAGTGTCAGAAAACCAAGATTAGAAATTTTTTTAGGGTAAATCCAGATTTAACAACATCCTCAGGCTAAGACATTGCTTTTAAAACACTCTCCAAAATTTTCCTATGCAAAAACTAACTGCATTCCAATTAGTTTGAATCATAAACTTCATTCAAGCTGTTGTGCACTACTATACATTTGAAAACGGCATGCAGCAAAGTAATGTAATAAAGCAGAAATGTTAGTTTGTCAAGCATTATATGTCTGAGCCTGGGAAAAAGATAGTATGCTTTTCCTTGAAATAACAGATGGATTCATTCATTATTTTGGTGAATAATGTTTCTCAACAATTTGCAGGAAACATCCCCAGTTCTAAAAATAAAGCAACTGAGTTTAAAGAGAAATAACTTACGGATCATCCATGAAATCATAGATCTCTCTCATGGCTACTCCTCCCACATTCACATAAAAGACAAGTCGCAGCAGGACCAAGTAGTGTTCTGGAGGCATCCATAGGACAAATTTCAAGTAAAATGTGTTCAACTCTGCCAATAAAAACTGACACATACCGTTCAATCACTTCCTATTTCCTGTTATTCAAACTTAAAATATGTCACAATTCTTCAAAATGTATAAATTTGAATGTATGACATGTCTTGCCAAAGAAATACTATTAAAGTTAACAATTTTAATGATTCAAAAAAATAAAGCTGTATTTTTAATCATTATCGCCTACATTTTCTTGGATGCTGCTATTTCCCTATTCTCATTTATTACATAATGGAAATTTGATGAAATGACCAGGTACTTCAATGTCTAAATGAGATGTGGTTGTCCATGCAACAACTACTGATGTTCTATATTCAAAAATATGGAAATGAATTATTAGAAAAAACTTAATTATTTAGTACAAAATTACAAACTCAAAACCTCACAGTGATTTTAACCTCCTAATCATACTATTTTAAGACGGCACTTCTTTCATATAAATTCAAAAGATCAAACTTTTAAACAAATGTATTCAAACAATAAAGTCAGATTATCATTCAAGATGACCAATTTTGACAAATGCAGGAAAAATGTTCTTTACTTCATTTCTTTTTCCCCAGATAAATGTTTGTATTTGATTAAACAGAAAAACACCAAGCACATTACCTTTTCTTCACTACCAGTTGTCCTATTTAAGTTCTACCAGTTATGTGCATATGTGAATGAACTGCTTTGGATGGAGAGGGTTTCTCCTTCCTGTGGTCTGTATTATCAGGGAATCATTTACTTACAGTATAATAAATACTGAAATAAAGTGTGTTTCTTGCATGTATACACTCATCCCTTAGCCTATACAATTTATATATTGCTTAGTATTTATATAGCCTTCTAAATTAAATGGGACCATCATGGCATCTTCCTTCCTTCCTTTTCTTTATTTTGCTCTTAGCATGAAAACAGGAATTCTGGAAGAATAATTGTATTTGTATTATGTCAAACAGGGAGTCTGTGGGAAAAAGCAAGAAATCTTTTTACAGTATTTTGAAAAATAAAAAACGATTTGAAATACTAATATTAGTTCATTGAAAAGAAATTGCCCTTACAATAAAAATAATACCACACACTGCTAGCCATCTGCGAAGGCTGGATGCTGGCTTCCACTCAAATTTAACCCAACTGTATGGTGTGAATTGAAAGGCAATTCTCTTCATTTTACCTCTGGAGAGGAAATTAAAGATATTTCATGTTAATTTTTAAAAAACTTTCAATTAAATAAAATGTGATTAACAAAAACACTAAAAAAGGCATAAATAACAAAAACCCAGAAGTAATGCAGAAACTAAAAATAAAAACAAAAAAACAAAAAAGGTTGGGAGTATACAGTATTTTTTGTAATTTAAGAAATAAAACAATACTTTACACACCCAAGATTTTAATTTTTTGCATATACACACCCACGAAAACTTAAGAAGACAACTATGTTCAACGTTTCTACTCAAAATGACATTTGTATAAATGGTAATAATCCATCATTAACCTATTACTTAATTTATTTCACAAACATACCATCTCATAATATTTATGAAACTTCTAACTTCTAACTATTAATTTATCCTAAATTAAAACTATTTAATCTTTATTTAGGATTCATTAGCATAAAAGGTGATAAAAATTATAAAATTTGCATTTTTCTGCCTTAAATATAAAATTTTGTAACTGAACATACTTGTATGTGGGAATATTCCAAAGTCCTTGCCATTTATATGTTTTCAAAGAAAGCCACCCCAATGTCTTCATTCCGCAGTAGATGCCAAGTCCATTGCATAAGATTACATCCATAATCCACTACAAATAATAATAATAATTTAATGATCCATCACAATCTCTACATAACTTGTGACTATAGCAATAATGGTACTGTAGTTTCTATACATAATATGCATGTACCACACACACACACATTACCCTTATAAAATACTAAATAGCACTTTAAAATAGCAATTATATATAACCAATATTTTGGCAAAACAGATGCTTCTTAGCCCATAAAATGATTTCATCTATAGAATTATTATTAGACCCTTTTCAGTCTGGCTTCAGGCCTGGCTACAGCACGGAAACTGCTTTGGTCATGCTGATGGATGATCTCTGGCGAGCCCGAGATAGGGGACATTCCTCCATCTTGGTGCTACTTGATCTCTCAGAAGCTTTCGATACCATTGACCATGGTATCCTTCTGGGACGATTGAGGGAGCTGGGAGTGGGAGGCGCCGTGCTACAGTGGTTCTCCTCCTATCTCTCTGGTCGGTCACAGTCGGTGTTGGTAGGAGGACAGAGGTCGACCCCTAGGCCCCTCGTTTGCGGGGTGCCTCAGGGCTCGGTCCTCTCTCCCCTCCTATTTAACATCTACATGAAGCCGCTGGGTGAGATCATCCAACGACACGGGATGAGGTATCAGCAATATGTGGATGATACCCAGCTGTATATCTCTACCCCGCGTCAATTCAATGATGCGGTGGATGTGATGTGCCGGTGCCTGGAGGCTGTGAGGGTCTGGATGGGAGTCAACAGGCTCAGACTTAACCCAGAAAAGACCGAGTGGCTGTGGGTATTGCCTCCTAAAGACCATGTCGATTGTCCATCCTTGGTTCTGGGGGGGAGAAATTGTCCCCCTCAGAACGGGCTCGCAATTTGGGTGTCCTCCTAGACTCACAGCTAAGATTAGAGCAACATCTGACAGCTGTGGCTAGGGGGACCTTTGCACAGGTTCGCCTGGTGCACCAATTGTGACCCTAATTGGATCGGGAGGCTCTCCTCACAGTCACTCATGCCCTTGTCACCTCACGGTTAGATTATTGCAACACGTTCTACATGGGGCTACCCTTGAAAAGTGTTCGGAGACTACTGTTGGTCCAGAACGCAACCGTGCAAGCTGTCGTGGGTGCACCTAGGTACACCCACATTCTCCGCGAGCTGCACTGGCTCCCTATTGGTCTCCGGTCACAATTCAAGGTGTTGGTTATTACCTTTAAAGCCCTACATGGCTCAGGGCCAGGTTATCTTCGAGACCACCTTCTGCTGCATAGCTCCCAGCGACCGGTAAGATCCCACAGAGTTGGTCTCCTCCGGGTCCTGTCAGCTAAACAATCCGCGGGGGAGGGCCTTCTCTGTGGCTGCCCCAGCTCTCTGAAACCAGTTACCTCCTGAGGTCCGGACCATCCCCACCCTATTGGCCTTCCGAAAAGCGGTGAAGACCTGGCTTTTCCGGCAGGCCTGGGGCCGTTGATCTCGCTCTTGTGATCTGGTGAGATCCGGCCATGAATGGTGACTAACTTAATCACCATTAAAAAAACAGTTGCCAAATTGGGTCTGGTCATGTGATGACATAGGTGTGACTGAAATTCTGGTCCCAATTTTGATCTTAAGTGAGGACTACCCAAACTGGCTCTCAGGTTCATGTGTATCTGTATTTAATATAACATTAGAAATAAAAGAAACTGCCAATCATTTTCATGAATCCCAGGATATCAGAGTTCAATGCTAGATGGTCTCTAGAAAGAAGAGTCTATAAAAATTACTCTTGCCAAAGTTATTTATATTTAATTAGTAACTAAACCCTGTGAAATGGGTTTTTGAAAAATGAATTTGCATCACTATATGCCAAATAATTTTTAAGAGAGTACTTAATACTTACATGATCCCACCAACATTCACTGAAATTTGGAAGCTGATGTTCTAGACTGTACTCCAGAAACTCAAACGTTACACTGATAATCATGCACATCCACCAATCCCGAATCATTAGTGTCTAAGCAAATTATGAAAGAAGAAAATTATTCTGCAGATCAGTTCAAATTTGCATTATCCAATATTGAAGAAAAAATAAGAAAAAAAATCTCACTGACATTTAACTTGTGAATAGGAGTAGTAAATGCTTACCACTGTTTTCAAACATTATATATTTGCACTAATTTATGATATTTTAAAATAAACATCAATATTCATTCTCATGTGTAATGCGACATACCATTTAATAAATTTACTAAGCAATTTCCTTGCTAATGTTTCTTGAATGCTACTATCCCTAATTATTTGCATTTTTATATGCATGGTTTTGATTGCAAAATCCAAAGGATAGTAGTATTTGGATTCATGCATTAAGTGAAGGAGCATAACTTAAGAAAACAGCTGTTAAAATGTGAATCAAATTATTTTTTTTCTCCAGTTTTGTTTATAATATATTGTACACCAGTAGTCCTTTGAAGATGACAAATTCTAGACACTAGGAACAAAGGCTCTCAAAAACATCCGCAGCACAAAATATTGAGTTTACTTTCAGGCAGGAACTTAGAATTACTCTTTAAATTCCAAGTATGGACGAACAGTCCTATGAGAAGGAAGTTGGTTTCTGTTTTTCTATTTTGAATAAAAAGGAAAATAAAATTCTACCAGTACCCTTTCATATATCATAAAGCAAAAAGTGGATGAAGCATGAGGCTTGATTTTCTGCCTAATTGGAAGCGACTGCTCTCAATAAATATTAAGTGCTGAGAAACGTAATTGGTGCTTTCTGCTACACAAACACAAGATATCTACCGCATAAGTGATTATTATAAAAATGAAGTTATTTTGCCATGTGTTGTTGAAGCCTACAGCTGAATTATAGTGCATAACTTTGTAGCAGAACACAAACCTGAACAATCTTATCTGCTCACCAATGAATAGCTGGGTTATGATTCCATCCTGATTCACTCTATACAGTGTATATTTTTCTGAATTGTCTGATTCTTCCATCTCTAGTTATATAAATCTTTGTCAATGAATACTTTCTATTTGGATTGCATTTTTCACTGAGTGTTTAAAATGACACAGTAATGTTCTTTGGATAGATTGTTTAAATATATATATATAATGAATATTCTTAATGATTTAGGTAGAAGTGCAAATTTTCCAAAGAGCTGACTGTTATACCAGTCCAATAAAATAGTACGTTACAACAGTACAACAACAGTAGTATTTCTAATATCAAAAGCAATTTAATAATGAAGGAATTGGAATAATGGGGATGTAATATAAAGTTTCCCATATTCTGATAAATGATATTTTAGGTGAAGGAATGCTGTTTGATAGTGGGATGTCAATCCAACATCCCAATAAGAACACATGCATCACTTTTCATAAATACAGAATTATGCAAGCATTCAAATCAATGACCTGTGGACATTTGTACACAAATTATATGCATGTTGAACATAACATAGCCTTTGAACATTACTCATGCAGAGCTACTAAACAAGAACTTTCCAGAATTATGCTGAAATCAAATACTTAAGATATAATTTCTGATGGTCAATTATTGACAGATAAAATATAAGGCAATTGGAGTATGTCAATTTTTACTGCAGAATGCACACTACAATGTAGTACTTTCAAATACTAGCATAAAATGTTATCTTAAAAGTAGAAAAATGTCTTATGCCAACATTCTCAAACTAACATTCCAAATACATTTTCTAGCTTCATGAAATGCCTGAAATTATTAGATAACTAAAGGTGAAAAAAGTTTGCTTCAAGTTTCTATCAAAATGATGTATTTTAACTACATTCTAGAAAATCCATGGGAAGGATTACGACTTTAAAATTGGCCTCAAGTAATATCAATTCCAATTGTAAAGCAGAACAAAGGTTACTTTCTCAGTATTTACTGTATGTGTAAACACTATTTTTAAAAATTAAGGCAGTGAAAGAAGTTATAAATAGTGTTTTTAAAATTCATCTCTATACTCAATTGTACTCTGTACTCAATTGAACTGATAGCTAAAGACACATACAGGTAGTCCTTGAATTATGAGCACAATTGAGTCCAAATTTTCTGTTGGTAAGCAAGCTAGTTAAGTGAGTTTTGTCCCATTTTACAACCTTTCTTGCTACAGCTGTTAAGTGTATCATGGCAGTTGTTAAGTAAATCATTTAGTCATTAAGCAAATCTGGCTTTTCCGATTAACTTTGGTTGTTGGAAGCTGGCTCTGAAGGTCACAAAAGGTTATCACATGACCCCAGAACAGTGGAACTGTCATAAATACAGCTGCCAAGAGCCCAATTTTTGATCATGTGACCACAGGGATGCTGCAATGGTAGTTAAGTGTGAAAACTAGTCATAAGTCACTTTTTCAATGCCATTGTAACTTCAGAGAATCACTAAATAAATTTGTCGTAAGTTGAGAACTACCTGTATACCTCAACTGGTTTTTCTGTCAGCTTACACCATCACTATATAGAGGAGGTCAGGTCTGCTGTACTGATAGCAAAAAACAACTAGAGTAGCCTTCATAGATGCATTACAAAGTTATAGTCAATGATGACTAGAAGTTTTAAAACTAAAATAAATTTGAGTAATTATGAAGAGAAAGGTTGTTTCGTAGCTATGAAAACATAATCAACTGCTTAGCAATAATTACAAAGCAGGACTGTTCAATATACTTTGTATATTAAGAGGGAAATAGTGATGCATTTATGTGTCCATTAGTTTAACCTTACTAGGGACACGGTGGCTCAGTGACTAAGATGCTGAGCTTGTCGATCGAAAGCTCGGTAGTTCAGTGGTTCGAATCCCTAGTGCTGCGTAACCAGATGAGCTCCTGTTACTTGTCCCAGCTTCTGCCAACCTAGCAGTTCGAAAGCACGTAAAAAATGCAAGTAAAAAAATAGGGACCACGTTTGGTGGGAAGGTAACAGCATTCCATGCGCTTTTGGTGTTTAGTCATGCCAGCCACATGACCACGGAGACGTCTTTGGACAGCGCTGGCTCTTCAGCTTTGAAACGGCGATGAGCACTGCCCCCTAGTGTCGGGAACGACTAGCACATATGTGTGAGGGGAACCTTTACCTTTACCTAGTTTAATCGTAACATAGGTAGCTGTTTTAAGTCTTATATTAAAATAGCTTAATACCTTAATTAAGATTTAAAGATATTCAAGTGTAAAACAGAATTTTACTGTCAGAAATTTATTTAAAAAATAATTTAGATGACCAGTGATAATAATAAAAAATAAGAAGCACTTGTAATACTGACAAGGAATGAGACTTAAGAACTATAATAAGAAATTAAGCAAAGAAAGGGCCAATTCTCACCTTTAAATACCAACCAAGAAAATGAGCAGGAACAAATCCATCTAGTTTATCCTGTAATTCAAGTAGATTATACAGATTAGAGTTACTTTCTATGTAATAAAAGGAATTAACATAAATGATGACAATGACTACTGAAGCATATATTTCCATATGCAATGTGAAACATTTTCACAATGTTTTCAAAATATTTGTTAAATGGTTAAAAAAATGTTTACATCTCACATCTAATGTATAATGTAAATTTTTCTAACAAAGAGATTAATGCTCTTCTTTTTTCAATTTTTATAAGCTATCTGGAAGATGAAAAATGGGTGCTTATCTTAGATAATACAATATTTGATCATATAATGTTCCTGAGATGTTAAATTCTGCTGTTGTGTACACCTCATCCCAGCAAAACCTTAGGCAAACATGATTATCTTAACTTTCAAAAACTATACCTTTGTACCTTTGAGCCACGAGTCTAGAAATACAGCATGAGTCTCAATCTGTTCTTTAGATCTGAGGCATCAATGCTTTGGATCAGTTTTTTACTCCATAAAAAGGAAATGCTTTACTGAAATATTACGTAGTTCAAAAATGTGGAAGTAATTAAATAATTTAAGTCAACTCTTAATATACAATTATGGAGAAATGAAGAGCATGATTAAGTTACTACACAGGTTAGAAGATAGTTACAGAAACATGCATACATTTTGCATTACAAAAAAAATCCACATTCAAGGTAACAATATTTATATATAAATTTATAAAATTGGAAAACATCTTTATCTTTGTTCTGCATTTGGTTAGTTATGAAAAAATAACAAAAATAACAACAAAATACAAAGCCATATGCAAGGCAGTAATATCTTAGTTCCCATGAGTAGGAAATGACTTTTATGAGTTTCAAAATTTTACTACAGATAATCCTCATTTAGCAACCACCTTGGAGAGCAACCATTCACAAATGCAATGGTAATAAATGCTTTCCACTCTGAGCATTTATGATGAAAAAGGCCTTTAATATGAAACCGATTAAGGTCTGGTCAGTTTCATGCAGCAGCTATGAGGTCTGGAGCAGGGGTGGGTTCTAAATTTTTTTACTATCGGTTCTGTGGGCGTGGCTTATTTTGTGGGCGTGGCTTGATGGTCATGTGACAATTATTTAGGATTTAGCAGAGGTACTGATTTACCAGGTTTTTAACTGCTTGCAGAGCTTTACTGATCTACCCATTTTTTTTTTGCAGGCACTGATCTATCCATTTATTTTTGCAGGCACTGATCTACTCATGTATTTTTACAGGCACTAATCTACTCATGTATTTTTGCAGGCACTAGTCTACTCATGTATTTTTGCAGGCACTGATTTTCTCATTTGTTTTCTTTTAACACTGATCAGCTGTAGGGCGGCCCTTTGAAGCCTCACGGCAAGAGTTTAAACAGTTTTTTTCCCTCTAGCCATCAGCTGGGACTCAGGAGGCAGCAATAGATTGGGGGTGGGGCCAAATAAAAGGTAAGAATAACACGGGGGGTGGGGGGGCGCGGGGGGTGGAGGGGCGGGGGGGAGCAGAACCGGTTCGGTGACGTCATATCGTCACTGCTATCGGCTCGGGAGAACCGGGCCGAACCGGGAGGAACCCACCACTGGTCTGGAGCCTTTTAATAATTACTAAAGGTCACAGTGACCTTGTTAACTCATAGTTAACTCTTTTTAAGGAAATCCTCCACTGAAAAGCAGCTCAGGAAGAAATTGTTTAAGCAATCTCTCCACCCTGCAGGGAAGCAAAAAAAAAAAAAAGGGGGGGGGATGAATTAGGCACAGGACATTATGTAAGAGAACTTTATCTAAATGAGACAGCAACTATCAATGATCTTCACAGCATCTCTCTCTCTCAGAGAGGTGTTCACTTGGCAATCACTTTGCTTAATGACCAGGTTGTTGAACCAATTGCAGTCACTAAATAAGGACTACCTGCAGTCTGTCTTTCAAGTTAATTTTGCTTTTAAAGAAATGAAGCCTGAAATTCTCAGAAAGATGCATTGGAACTCATCTATGGAATTGCTGAAGACAAACTCTTAGTTATGAAACAACTGATGTTGGATTAGGCAACAATTATTAGGCATCCATGGTAAATAAAGTAGTACAAAATCCTAGGACATAAAGGTATTATTAAATGAATACAATCCTTCCGTTTTAGCATCTTACCCAAATATTGTGAAAGGCATCTGTTTCATTATTGGGGTCATATATAAGGCAATTTCCACCATAGTCTCTTTCTGGTAAAGGGACTCCTAAATTAGGATCTATAAATTTCATAAACTGTCTTCCATCATGTACAGTCTGCAAAATTAAATACATGTTCAAGAACATCAACATTTGTTTTAAAAAGTCATATTTGTTAAATTGGGAATACCAAAAGAATATACATATATAATGGCTACCCCCAAAATATACATACATAATAGCTACCCAGACCCTATAAAAGAATTGAAGAAATAAATTTAGATATCTAGAAAAAAACGTATACAACATTCCAAGTTTGGAACAACCGTATTTTGTGTGGAACTAGGAACAAGGTATCACCATTCTGGATATTTGTCTTTGGCTTATTTCATTCGATTCTTTCAAACTACCCCATACTCCTACAAATGGCTTGTTTAAAAAAAATGCAGATACAAAGAATTCAAGACTGCATTAGCCAATAAAACAACACATGTTGGTTCAATCTCTGCTGATGGGGCTAGGGCTATCTGAGAACAGGAGGAGAGTATAGCTGAGGGAACAATCAAATGCCTAAATATGTAAAAAAAAAAGTGCTGTCTGTCAAATTATTACAGTGCATTCAGAAAGTATTCAGACCCCCTTCACTTTTGTCAATTTGTTTATGTTGAAGTTCGATTCTACAGTTGTTGAAATTCAATTTTTTCTCATTAATCTATACTCAGTACCTTGTAATGACAAAGTGAAAACAGAATTTTAGAAATGTCTGTACATTTATTAAAAAGAAAAAACTGAAATATCACATTGGCATAAATATTCAGATCATTCACTCCTTTGAATTGAATTGCACCTTTGGCAGCAATTACAGCCTTGAGTCTTTTTCGGTATGACTCAACAAGCTTTGCACACCTGGATTGGGGGATTTTCTGCCATTCTTCTTTACAAATCCTCTCAAGCTCAGTCAGGTAGGATGGCAACCATTGATGGACAGCCATTTTCAGGTCCCTCCAAAGATGTTCAATAGGGATCAAGTCAGGGCTCTGGCTGGGCCACTCTAGGACATTCACAGAACTGTCCCTAAGCCACTTCTGCATTGTCTTGAATGTGTGCTTACGATTGTTGTCATGTTGGAAAGTGAACCTTCAGCCCTGTCTGAGATCCTGAATGCTGTAGGACAGGATATCCCTGTACTTGGTTCCATTCAGCTTTCCTTCAATCCTGACCAGTTTCCCAGTCCCTGCTGCTGAAAAATACCCCCACAGCATGATGCTGCCACCACACTTCACTGTTGGGTTGATATTGGGCAGATAATGAGTGGTGCCTGACATAACATTTAGAATTGAGGCCAAACAGTTCGATCTTGGTTTCATCAGACCAGAGAATCTTGTTCCTCACAGTGTGAGTGTCTTTCAGGTGCTTTTTTGCAAACTCCAAGTGGGCTTTCATGTGGTTTGCACTGAGGAGAGGCTTCTGTCTAGCCATTCTGTCATAAAGCTCAGATTGGTGGAGGTCTGCAGTGATAGTTGTCCTTCTGGAACTCTGTCCCATCTCCAACACAGGATCTCTGGAGCTCAATTAGAGTGACCATCAGATTCTTGGTCATCTCTCTTACCAAGGCCCTTCTCCCCCGATAGCTCAGTTTGATCAGGCAATCAGCTCTTGGAAGAGACCTGGTTGTGCCAAACTTCTTCCATTTGAGAATTATGGAGGCTACTGTGCTCTTAGGAATCTTCAGTGCAGCAGAAATTTTATTTTAGTCTTCCCCGGATCTGTGCCTTGCAATTATCCTGTCTCTGAGCTCTGCAGGCAATTTCTTTGACCTCATGGCATTTGCTTTGCATTGTCAGCTGTGAGGCCTTCTATAGAGAGGTGTGTGCCTTTCCAAATCATGTCCAATCAATTTAATTTACCACAAGTCGACTCCAATTAAGGTGTAGAAATATGTCAGCAACTATCAAGAGAACCGGGAGGCACCTGAGCTAAATTTCAAGTGTTGTTGCAAAGGGTCTAAATATTTATACCAATATGATATTTCAATTTCTTTTTAATAAATGTACAGACCTTTCTAAAATTCTGTTTTCACTTTGTCATTATGGGATCTGAGTGTAATGAGGAAAAAAACGAATTTCAACAACTGTAGAATCAGGCTGCAGCATAACAAAATTGATAAAAGTGAAGGGGGTCTGAATACTTTCTGAATGCACTGAATGTAGGTTTAAATATGTTTTACACTCTTTGTTATGAGATATTTTATTATCTCATTTTCAGGCATTTCTCAAATTATACCATGCATAGTAGCAACTGCAAAAACAATATTTTTTATGGGTCGAGCTTGGCAAGTAGATTGCCAAATGAGGGTAGTAGCACTGATATGTTACATAGTTTGGACAATGAAACATCTGCAAGAAAACAAGCAAGCTCAGAGAGCACCAAGGACCTCTCATGTCAACCCTGAGCTACAAATATTCTTTATTAGACTGCCAAATATATGAGTGTACTTCACATAAGCATTAGGAAAAAAATACAACTGAATAGCTGGAGAAATGTATTTTTGGAACTTTTCTGTGGATTACTGTTGTTCCTTCTTTGTTGGGAAATGCTTTTTGGCTGTGGCACTTGTTGCAGAAAGTATGCTTAATTGTTTTTTTTTTCTTTAGCTGAAAGGATGTTTGTAAAAACTAAAAAAGCATTATTTATTTTATTTAAGATCAATGTAAAATTGTCTTTGCTTTGGATGTCAAGTAGCATTCATCATGAACTACTATACAGTTGACTTTTGCAGTTGTGGGATGAATTCTGGGATGAAAAAAGTAAGAAAATAAGATGATTTTGTTATTCTTTATGAAGGAACATTTAAAATGTTTCAAATTTTATTCTTCTGGACCAAAGTTCATTCAGAACATACTATATTCCATCTTCTAAAGGAACATTCTAAATATTTCATTTCAAACACTTTTCTATTTCATGTATACCATTAATGCTCATTTACTTCTTATAAATATATTTTTAATCAAAGTTTTTGTATCAATCAGTTTTCTACAGATTATGGCCATCTCTATGAAAATATGCCTTTTGCTTTTCCAAACTTTCCAAGAATAATTGTTTCACTAAAAATTGTTTCACTAAAAACATTACCTGTGTCATAATTAAAATGACCCCTCCTGATCTTGACTGGGGTTTGGTATTCATATGACAAATTAACTTGATCCATGACTCAGTTAAAAAGTTATATGAAGATTACCATTGCTTCTGCTTGAAAAAGAGAGAGAAACTAGCTTTTTATTCATTTGAGATTGATCTAATTTCTTCTTTCTGAGGATGAACTGAAACCTGAAAAAAGGGCTAAAAAATTTCAGCAGAACAATTATCCTATTAGATGAAAAGTTTGTCCCAGTGCAGAAAGCAAACCATCTTAAACTTTCCAAAGATATAAGTTAGAAGTACTGCTTGAATGTTTACATACATGTCTAAAACAAATGAGTTAAAAGGAAATTTTGATTCTTGCATTGTAAAGAGGAAGGGGCCATTTTTTTTGTAGAAAGTCCAGATTAAATCCGTGGAATCTTCAGTCACAGAAAGTTCAGTAGATACGATGAGAAATACCTCAATTCAAGATCCTGCAGAGTTACTGCCAAATAGATTAAATCAAACCCACTGCTGAGAATTCTTGGAGTTAAAATCCACAAGATGCTCAGGTTGAGGAAAGCTGCATTATATAATGTACTGTAATATTATAAAGCCAGTTTGGTGTATTGGTGAAGGTGCTGGCCTCAAAATCAGGAGACTGCTAAGGCAGTTCTAAGCCTGCCTTAGGCATGAAAGCTGGCTGGGTGACTTTGGGACCAGTCACTCTGTCACAGGGTATGTTGTGAAGAAATAGGAGAAAAGAATATTAGGTATGTTTACTGCCTTGAGTTAACCAAAATATATTAACAGTTATTATATTAACTATAATAATAATAGTCAGATGGACTATTGAAATGATGTCACTTATGCATTTGTATGCAATATGCTTTCATGGTAAGAAGTAAAGCTGATTATTATGATCTCTACTTTTTATCTCTAAGGTTTTCTTTAAAATACAAACTTTAAATTCCTTACCTGAAAAAGTATGAAGATGAGAAAAAGCTCATAGACAACACTGACGCATAGCCAAAACCTCCAGTAAGCTAGTAGAACAAATTAACAAACGTAGATATATTACAGTTGGGCATAAGGCTAAACTAGTACATATAGAATCTTTAGGAATAATAAGAAGCTTTGTTTGTATGGAATTGTATATGCTTTGAAGGAAGTCTAAAAATAAAAATGCAGAAGGCCCAAATGACTAACTGGAAAAGGTTAGTGAAATCAATTACAGAGAAAATTCACCCATATTTTGAGGATTTACAATCCACTCATTCCGATAAAGAGAGTTGGGCAGCAAACTATTGTGGAGTACTCTGATCAATTCTTATGAATTAAAGTTTAATGGGCTCCTTCCCTTAGCTTTTTGTTCTACATCCAACTGTAGTTTTATTACATATTTTTAAAATTACTAATAAAAATGAAACAAGGTTCAAAGTAGGGCAAAACACCCTTGCAACTTGGCTAATATACAGAGAACACTGCAGTCTTATATTACAAATTTGTATCTTATAAAATAGCTGTGAATTGTAGTGAAAGTAAATCTGACTTCATCTATGTGGCATATCTCACTTATTCAGTTTCATATCACATCATCATTTCAAAATGGAAAGGTTTAAAGTCAAGGAAATTACAGGTGAGGGTAGTGTCAGCAAATAAACATTCCAAGAATTAATAAAAGGGCATTCTGAAAATACCAGAAATTAAACAAGCAGCACCTTATGCTGAACTTATCCTATTTCACTTATCCTATTTTACTATCAAGAAAATACAACATCTTATTTAGACAGGTAAGATTGATTTGTTGGTCATATTGATCAAAATAAAGAAAGGGCTGAACCAAACTAAAAGAAGGTGGCCCCAGAATTACTTGGAATACCTTCTCAAAACTATTCACTGATAAATTAGAATTTGCAAGTACTTTAAGGAATAGCAATTTACAGATGTGAGTTTCAGAAGTTCCATTCAAAATAACAATAGTTCAAATGGTGTATTTATTATTTTAATTGCATCTGTTATTTCATGAATAGATTACAGGCACAGACGACTATAAAGAGAAAATGTACTTCATAGTATCTAAGCATTATAAAAACAAACTACTTCCTTATTGTCATTAAAATTAATTCTAATTAGATATATTGCATGTTTAAAATTGTTCTGATTTTATATCTTCCATTATGAAGATGTTCTTAATGCTCTTTAGCTACAGAGAAATATGTATATAAAATAGTTTTTTGAAATATGAACACTTCTATTAGAATGGCTGTGTATTTTTAAAATGAACATGGCTTTGATTGTTTCACTAGGACCCATGCTTATTGAAACATCCTTCCCTGATAAGAATAGTAATGTGCGTACTGTAGTGAGAAAAAAACTCCTCCAAAAACTGGATGGACCACTGTTTCTTCAACATGGGAATGTTGACAAACAATGAACTAGAGACTTCACACCCCCAGAAGTATCTTACAAGTGTTCATATGAACTGCTCATACAATGAGTACAATATATCTTCTATTAACAGTTTCATGACACACTCACCAAACTCAGGTCACTTTTACAACATTCACTACAGTGCCCAGCACTCATTTATTTGCAATAACCATTTCTTCGTGTATCATCTATTCTGTTATTTTTATTAAGAATGGTAAGGAGAAGTTTTCATAAACATATGGGTAATGATACAGTTATAGATACAGTTCTACGTTTTTTGATATGATTTTTATCTTAAATGTTACTTATATATTCTTTTAAATATGTTGCAAAACTAAGCAGGAAATTGGAAAATTTACATAAATATACAGCAGCATGTTAAGCATACAGAATCTATACAATACATGGTTAGCATGGACAGTGATCAGATTAGGACTTTCAAAATGCTATGACAGGTTTTGTTAAGGAAATCTTGATAGATAGTATTAAAAATGACGATTTTCAAAATTGACATTCATCAGTCTATTTTAATGCTATGAGCTATTTGGATTACCTGGATGGGGTCTTGAAAATGGACCATCTTTTGCTTGAGTGACTCCAAAACACAAAAAAACTAAAATGCTGGCTACAATACCTCTGGAAAATATTAAGAACAAAACAGTCCTCAGTATATTGTAACAATAACTTGCTTACAGTCAATTTAACATGTTGACTGTTCATGTAATATAAAATTAGGAGATACGATTATTAATTTTATCTTGGCTAGAGTTGGACTAAAATGGATGTTTTGCCTACCAGGCTTGGCTACTTAAATGAACCTTGATAACGATCAGTTGGACTGGAAGAAAGCCTCACTGGACTAATTGCTATTACATAGGTATTTCTGGTGTCAATGAAATTTAAATGATCTATAGAGATTCTTAAATAATGAGTTATGGACATACCGTGGATTATAAAACCATCTAAACCTCTTTTCCAATGACATTAAGTCTCACAAATAGATATCTTGCTATTTTGGAATTACTTTAGATATTGCAGAGGCCTCTCTTAGTTTCCCTTTAATATATGGTATGGCTATCTGTCTTGGTAGATTTATTAAGATTTCCTATGAGGAAGAAGCATACCATGTGAGTCAGGTGCAAACAAAACAGCTAGCTACATCTTATTTATTAAGAATATTACAAAAACATGCAGAGTAAGTTAGTTCCGTTTTTAGAAATAAAATCTTTCAGATTGTCCAAACAATTACTGTGTCATCTTACTATAAATAGATATCATTCTTTACACATAACAGACAAATTCTGAACAGCAGCATTTAAAGCCTGACATGAAAGCCAGCTGGGTGACTTTGGGCCAGTCACTCTCTCTCAGCCCAACCCACCTCCCAGGCTGTTGTTGTGGGAAAAATAAGAGAAGAAGATGTGTTGGATATGTTCACCGCCTTGAGTTATTTGCAAAAGTAATAAAGGCTGATACAAAAGAAAGAAAGAAAGAAAGAAAGAAAGAAAGAAAGAAAGAAAGAAAGAAAGAAACCAGTGAGCTCTTTCTAATTTCTATAGAATTAGTGAGCTTGGTTACATGCATTCTTGATATAGTCAATATGTATTATTTTTGTTTTCTGTTTGACTTAGTGTTAACATTGTGGGTATTTTTGAACCATGATAAAATTTATTACTGAATGAATGAAACCTTTAAGGCCATCCAGTCTTGATGAAGTATCATGAAGTTTGGTTAAGACACTGGAAAACCTTAGTTTGCAATGTTTTATATCTAGCCGTCACTGGATTTGATAGCTACATAACCATTTTTCTAGAATTCTATTCTATTTTTATAGAACTGACTAACTAGAACCAAATTGGTGGAAACACAGGAATTCTTTTCAGTCTCAGAAATGAGTTTATAGACTTGGCCAAATAAGCATTCTTTCATACACAACCCAGTTTAGGCAGGGAGAAAAGTCTTTGCATTAGTTCTATTAGAATTTGGAAATCCTTGAGAAACTAATACAGATGACCAAGAAATCTACCAACAGACTCTGATCTATCTAGCTTCTAGCCATCATAATCTGACAAACTGCCAATTTAAAATATCTTTCAGAATGAAATCTTGAAGCCCGGAAATAACCAATAAATAATTCAATTTAACCAAATTAAAATATAACTCTTACTCTGTTAAATCCAAACTAATCCTGCTATACAAAGCAGACATATCTTTTCAAAAAGGGGAGAGAGGGCCAAATCTTACACATTCAATTTAAGAGTGGATACTTTAAGTAATTAGTCTGATGGCTTTTATTTCTAGGCTAACCATATCAGTAAGAGGGAAATTTTCTTAGAGATATTTGCAGAAATTCAGAAGTCTGATAACATTTTTTCCAACTAACACATTTTATTAAAAGGAATTAGCACGCACAATTTGCACTCACTTCTTAAATACCTAGAGTGGCAATGCTGTCTGTCTTGATTGATTTATTAATTATATGCCATCAAGTCGTTTTCAATTCTTAGCCACCACAAAAATATTCTCCATGACTTCCTTCCCTTACTCCAACTTAAATCCTGCATCTGCCTCAACCTTTGGGAATGGACAGCATACAAATAAATAACCTAGCATAATATACAGGGATGGGTTCTAATTTTTTTTACTACCAGTTCTGTGGGCGTGGCTTGGTCATGTGATGGTGAGAGTGGCTTCGTGGTCATGTGACTGGGTGGGCGTGGCCAACTCAATGTCACTCAGGTCAAGGGGTCCCTCACCTGGCCCCTCCCCTCCCCTCCCAGCCATTCCTTGTCACACCCAAGCCTCAATGTATCTATAGTTCTGTAAAAATGTTGTTCACCTTTTTTCAACTTTATTATCTACATACTATAAATGTATTTTCATGGACCACTGAAAGGAGGAAATGGCTCACATACTTTGCCCAAGAGTATGATAGGCAACAGGTTTTTAAGGGGCTGTCAGAAAGAATGTATAGACAATGTATTTTCCAAAGCACCAGAAGGCAAAACAAGAAGCAATGGATGGAAACTGAACTAAGAGAGAAGCAACCTAAAACTAAGGAGAAATTTCCTGACAGTGAGAACCAATATAGGTGCAGAAATATTTCAGTCATAATTTCACATATAACATAGCCATTCGTGCATATTGTTCAAAACAGTAATTAGTATTATGGTTAATGTTTGACAGCAAGCGTAAAAGTCAAAGATCACAAGAGTGCTTCTTTCTCTGTATGTGTACAAAACATCACATACCAGGAATAGCATATTAAGATGGACTTATGCAACCTGATGTACAAAATAAACACACATATATTTACGCTCTGGACTATAGACATTGAATGCATGTAAATCTCTGAAAAATATGTGGTAGCCCTGGGCAAAAGAAAGGCAGTAAAATCACTCTAGGTGTAGGGACAGTGTAAAATATTAACACATGATAAATAATGGAACAATTAAAAATAATAGCACAGAGTTTTCTCTCTCTCTCTCTCCCTTCCTTCCTCTTTTTCTTTCTTTCTTCTCTCTCTCTCTTTCTTTTTTTCTCCCTCTCTTTCTCCTTTCTCCCTTTCTGTGAAGAACCCCAGAAGGTCTTTGGTAGGAGGAAGAAAAGCCAGACGTTTTGAAACTCAGAACATGCCCATTGATCATCTGGCATTCTTAGAGCTCCACTATTGATTAGCTTAGCCTGAGCAAGGATAGCTAGCAGCCACTTACAATAAGCTCTCAACTCAAGCTCAGTGCAGGTGGGGATCTCTCTAAGCAGAGAGGATTTCTTTGTTTCTTTCTCCCTTCAAGCCCCTCCCCCCTTCAGCCCGTTTTTGCTTCCAGGGGGCTGCAGGGAGTCTTGCTAGGCACTCCCCTGCGCCTCATTGTGGGCTTAGCAAGCCTCCCTGCAGCCCCTGGGAGCCAAAACGGGCTGCGGGGGAACTCCTGTAAGGGGCTGGGAAGATAAGGTCGTGAGCCTGGTGGGGGAGGCGCAGCATGCTCGGGGGGGGGCTAGCGCAACTTACCTGTAAGCAGGAGGAGGCAGCTCAGTTGGGGGCGCAGGGCAGGCCCCACGTGGGAAGGCAGCTTAGGCAGGCAAGCCGCCCGGGTGGTGAGGAGGAAAAGGAAGTGACTGGGCGGGGCGGCGACCAGGGAACCGGTTTCCGGGGCGTGGCCAGCCAGCCATTAATACCGGTTCTGTGACCCTCGCCAATTTATTGCTACTGGTTCATCCCGGTGGGTAGCAACCCACCACTGATGATATATGAATCCATCATTATAACAGCGTATATCAGTAAGATATATGATGAGTGTGAGTCTATGTGAAAATTACTTTAACACTATATTGAAAAAAATTCCTCTAACTTGAACTATAGATAGCATATATAGCAGATATATAGCAGATTACTATACAGAAACAGGGATCTAAAGCAGAGAAAGTTTATTAGGATTTTATTTATTTAAGAAGTTTACTTGTGTCCCTCAAGTAAAGGGGCACAAAATAAGTGCCCCTTTACTTGAGGTTCTCAAAATAAGATGGTAAGATAAAATAAGATGGGTGGTAAGGAGATAACCTTTGAATTAAATCTACCAGGCAGAACTCTCAAATACAACTATAATTACTGAGCAGGAAAATGGGCTAATTTCTATCAAGGTGAATTAAATAACCAAGAACGGATGTAAGTCACCTTTCCTGTTTTAAAATTACAGTTTCCTGAAAAAACATGTAGGCTGACTTGTTAAAACAGAGCATTATTCAAACCTTTGATTAAGCAATCTAGGAAGCTGGGGGCAATGCTGTTAGTATAGACCTATATTTTTTTAAGGATAGGAGAATACACTAACATCTTTCTGCAGTTGGGCAGCATTAACAAATCTAACAAGCAACAAAAATCATGGCAGTGAAAAAGAGCCCTTTATCTTAGAAGAAGGAATTTTGCCCTCTCTAGATTCAGGAAGATTTGTGATAAGATACTGCCAAAGGGCAATAGTCCATTTTTCTCTTTGAAGCTGATGTCTCCCACACTAGGCTCAGGGATTAGGGGGATAAAATACTAAATAAAGTCATTCTGAATGAAAGGCTACCAGCTGGATGACTTCAATTGAACAACTGAGAGAAGGCAAAGGCCTAAGGGTAGAAACCTGGGGACGAGGCAATCTGCTTCTCTACATGTGTTTTCCTTATCCAAGGTTCAGCTGGGAAAAGATGCAGAGGATCTGCTTCCTAATGCATCTTCTCCTCTGTCAAGGCTAGAATGGGAAAAAGTCAGTGGTGGGCTGCTGCATGGTCGCAAGGGTTCGGGTGAATCCTTAGCTCTGATCCCTGGCTGAGCCTGCCCACCTGCCTGTTCTATGCTATCCATTTATAACTTACTTTCTGACTCATTGGCTGGCCCAGCTGCATTCCGTGCCGCCCCTGCTGTTCTGACCGGAGCTGCCTGAGCTGATTGGGAGCCTGTTTGAAGCTCCGTTTCTCTCCCAAAAGGGGGCATGCGAGAGAAGTGTGTGCGCACGCTCACAACCAGAGAACCCTTTGTTAAAGAAAGTGCAGCCCACCTCTGAAAAAAGTAGTTCTGTGTGTTGAGACAGTGCCAACCTGAACTAGAATGCTCTGCTCCTAGAATAGCCATGTCTCCTTTTCCAGAGACTGGA